TTTGAGAGGGAGAACAAGTGTCGCCGACAGACTGGAAAGCAGGGCACCTCATGAAGATGACAAAGAAACGAGATCTGAGCAAGTATGAAAACTACAAAGACATCATATCACTATCAGTGCCAGGAAAGACTTTTCAAAAGGGTGTTCCTGAACCGGATGAAAGATTCAGTAGACGTTGAACTTCAAGATTAACAGGCTAGATTCCGTAAGTATCTGTTGTGTGCCGACACTAAGGCTCATTGTTGAACAAGTGATTGAATGGAACTCATCGCTATACATCAACTCCAATGATTATGGAACACTATGGTGTACCTGAGAAGATCGTCAACATCATCCGGGATTCATACGACAGACCACACTGCAGAGTTGTGCACAGAGGACAGTTGACAGACGCATTCCGAGTGAGGACCGGAGTCCGACAAGTCTGCATATTCTCTGTATTTCTTTTTATTCTGGTAGTTGACTGGATAAACTGATCCTTCTATCCCATTATTTATTTATTTATTTTAACACATAGATATCGGTACAAGGGGGCATCAAATACATATGCGCCAAACAGATCTCATTGGATATGTGTGGGGGGGCTGTGATACTGCACGGGTGCCAAAACCGAAGCAGGTGGTTTTCTTAGGGGGTCACACCCGGAGCCTTTGACCAAAAGGTCTAGTCCACAAGGCAGTGGAGCATCGTGAGGAGATGCAGTCCCATGGTAGCCGGTGACCAACGATTGGTTCATACGCCATTTGTTGCTTCAGGATACTGGAGCCCATGTGCACCGTTGATTTGGGATCCGGTTATAGCGCCGGACATTCGCTTTTCGTCCTTTCATTTTCGTAAACAACAGTAATGCCACGAGAAGGCAGTGAGTAGGACTTCCCTGGAAGAGGCTGTATACGCGTGGCCATGTGAGAGCATTTCGAGAGGGAGAGCGGACTCTCCCCACTCTCGGCCGTACCAGGGCATTTGGGGTCAATACAACCAATATAGCAGCAGTCTCTGCATCAGTAGGTCTGAACATACACAACGGAAAAACCAAGATCCTCAAATACAACACAGATAATACCAACCCAATCACACTTGATGGAGAAGCTTTGGAAGTCATTAAAACTTTCATGTATCTGGATAGCATCACCGATGAACAAGGAGGATCTAATGCAGACGTAAAGGCAACATTCTAACAGTTGAAGAACGTATGGAACTCAAAATAACTGCTAACCAATACCAAAGTGAGAATCTTCAATACGAACGTCGAGACAGTTTTACTGTATGGAGCTGAAACTTGGAGAACTACCATGACCATCATCAAAATGTACAAGTATTTATAAACAGTTGTCTACGTAAGATGCTCAATGTTCGTTGGCAGGAAACCATCAGCAACAGCCTACTATGAGAGAGAACAAGTGAACTTCCAGCTGGAGAGGAAATTAGGAAAGGACGTTGGAAGTGGATTGGAATATACACTCTTTGGTGTTCACAGTGTGGTTATGAGTCAAACTCATCTCAGAGTTAAAAATGATGACATGCATTATGAATGATAATAGCGAATTAGAACTGGCAGAATGTTCGTAAAAGCAATGAGATGTAATAATAAATATTCAGAAAATGGAGACATTGCTTTAAATACTCTCTAAGAACGAAACCTGATTAACTTTGATCTGTTGTAAATATAGGGATCTAGAAAACCTTTTATTTGCATAACTTTAGTTGTGAATCGTAGATAGCTATTACTTTCTGTAACATTGCAACGGTAAAAGTGACTGATAATAAATAATTTGATAGACATTCAACTATGTTAGATTTAGTGGGTTACACAAGTTAAAGGAAAGCAGTCAAACATTGGTATTATTTAGCATCTTACCATCTACGCTTGGTGTTCTTATACATACCCCATCTATCTAGCTAAGAAATCCAATACTCACTTATTTTCGTATTCGAAATGATATTGTTTTTTAGAAAATATTTTATCCTATGCTCTACCTATGATCAATTTTTATGTATATGAAATTCCAAGGTGTAAAATCCACTAAATACTTGCCACTGTCCTTAGATTTTGACAAAACCAACTTTTCACAATATGTAGTAGGTTCACGAGTGGACCTCTAGAAATGTTCTACTGAATCTTATGTTACATCAAAGAAAGAGATAACAGTCAAATGCTTGTTTGTGAAAAGAGGATGTGATTGTTTTTTTTGTCTAGAAGCAAATCAGTTTATGCGCGTTCTGTACACTGCTTTCTCCAGAGTATAATAGTGGACTGATCAAATCTTTTAGGGTTATTGCTGTTATTATATCTCATAAATTTCCTTTCTAGATGATTACTGATTCCGTTGTAATGAAATACTAATTGAATGAAAGAACTTATAATCCTGGATTATTGATCATCAGTTTAAATCATCGCACTTCAGAATAACCTAGTTGAAGTAAACCATTGTAGATCAACAGTAATATAAGTAAACAATTATTCAGAATAATATGTATTTATATATTGACAATAGTATAGCTGGAACAGACTTCACTCATAACAACTAACATCTCTTAAAGCTGATTTCTATCTGCAAATTAAATATGTTACATGTATCTTACACCTTAAACTATTAGGCCTATCATTTTTTGACCTAAATGACACAATATTTTTGTATGAACGACATATATCTCAAATATTTAGCGTTGACTAGCTACTTAATTAAATATCATAGTTTTGGTTTACATATCACATAGAATATATCAACTATTGTAATTTAAAAGATCAAGTAATTACATTAAGAAAGTGAATAAAAGATAGTTGTCAAGGTATTAACTATTACAGCGAAAAACTAATTAACTAAAATGTATTTCACTAAAAGATATGGAACTGTCAGTCATTTGTAAATATATCCTTCTATTTGCTGATATGAAAATTTAAAAAAAAAGATCATATCAGCAAACTCACTGAATTACATACCAGTTTGTGAATTTATTACATAGTTAGCGAATTGTATTGTGTCCTTTGAATGTTCATTAGCATTCGTATACAGGTTTTTTTTTCAACTGAAAAATATATTCATATTTTTAGTGACAATTATGTCGAGACATTTCTAATGAAAATGAAGGTTGAATTTGTACATTATATACAAGTCAACATTTTAAAAGCCCATAATGTTTTACTATTGTTCAATCTGTCATCTTTTCAATAATATACAGATGTGTATGAAATTTTAAGGTTTCATTTCACAAGTCCTATAGGAAAGTAGTTAGGAGGTTATATTTTTGAATACCGGCTGAATTGACTACATTCAATCAACTAAGTCATATGTTGATTTTGTTGTTCTTTATAAAAGTAAGGGTTTTTCATCTACAGCTCAAGATGATAGTAGAAGCTCCAGTTGTCCGTAAGATGGGGTTTGAACTTTGTATTAAAAAAAATTATGTCTTTTTTTATTTTTACCTCGGTCATGATCAATTGTTATTTTTAATTTACAGATAATTCCCATTTAAACATTAAAATTAAAACACGTGTTTTAATTTTTAATTTACTTCATCAACTGTTCATCTTAAAATCTGGTCCTCTATTTAATGACTTCACATATCCCCTTGAGTTTTGTTCATAACTTTTGACGATATCATTTCATTTAATCCCCTTATTATATTTAGCAGTGAAGAAAAAGACATTTTAATTATTTAGCTCCATTCACAATATAATCCAATATTACAAGTTAGTTGGACTTATTTAAAACATGTAAAAAAACACAATGTGTCCAAATGCTTAAATTTAAAACTGAGAACTGCTCGGTGAGACTATAATTTATGGACGACATTTGAGCGACGCTAAACAAACCTTGGGGATGTCCACCTACATATTACGGCTAAATGAGGGTTATAAACCAGTGTAAAGAATTAGGATTAATATTTATAGTTAATAGTTAGGGTTAGGAGTTAGATATATGGTTTTCATCATGAACTGACATCAGCTATAATGCGAAAACTCTATTTAGCCAAATGAATGGATGAATTTCGCGCCGAAATTCAGGACCTGTTACCCTAAATCTGATTGGTTCTTCCATAAATTATAGTCTTACCAACTACCAATGTTACATATAAACTAGAGTAAAAATGTCTCGAAAAAATGTACCACATTTTTGGAAGTATGGTGTTAGATGAAAAACAATAAGTTATTTTATATGGTAGAAATTGTAAGAAATCTATCACAAGGCAACCTCGAATTTCCAAATATCGTTCTGACAGAGGAATTTCTACAAAGATTGCTGTATTCAGTTTGAAACTACGGTTATTATTAATATCAGTATTATTATCATTAGAGTTCTAATTTTATCATATATCTGTGCTACTATCAATGTCACTATTAATATGTCGATCTATCCTGTGTTATATACAAGTCTATACAAGCTAGACGTATATAACATAACAGTTACTAAATATCGTCTCAAGAACTCAAATATAATTATCATTAATATTATAAAATAAAAAATATAGGCTATTATTATTCCCGTTATTGTATTGCGCGCACAATAATTATTGGTCGTTTGGATGGCCCAATCACTAATCCTAATTTAAATTATTTTCCGTACAGTTTTACAGTTTATATAAACAAAACTAATAATATTAAAAAGAAGGTAAATAATAAAGGTATGATGATGAACATAATAATTGTTTGTGTGTATATATCATCTAGTAATCATACATATTCTGATGTCCCATTGGTATAACCAAATAAACTTACATAAGAGAGAGATATGGTTGGTATCTGCCTATAAAAACTATCAGATGGATAAATTTGCACAGTTTAAGGGCAGAAATAAGCCCAAAATTGGAAAGTTTTTCACTGGTGGAATAAATATTTGTTCATACGTTATTCCTCAGTAATTTTCTACTCGTATCTTTTAGTTATTTATACGTGTGTATGTGTATATGAATGAATATGTGTAACGCATACAATTATCTGGAAAAGAAAAACAAGCAACTGAAAATAATTTATTTCATCTACCTGTATACATATATATTTAATGCAAGTTAAGTTGGATAGAGAATATATGAATTTAAATGTGATTGGAATTAATACATTTCCTCCTTATACAAATATGACTACTATTGATAATAATACTAATATTAATATTAATAATAATAGTAGTGCTCAATTGCATAATCTTGTGGACAACACACATGTAGATTACTTTAACTCGTTATGTTCTTTGAAACCAGATATTCATACAACGTTTACTGCTACCATTGACAATCATAATAATCACAACTATTTCAGTAGTTCAACGGACATTCCTATTGAGTCTATGTTGAATAATTATGGTTTATTCAACGCAACGACATCTCATTTACCTACATTTACTAGTACCGTAACCACTCGCACAATCAGTACCATAAATAAAAGTAGCAGTACAGTAAATAATAACAATGGTTATCGATACTATCATGGTCGCAGCTATTCACGTAGAACGAATGCAGATAGGATAAGAAAGGTAAAACAGTCACGAATTAATAGAACTTTACCATCATCATCCCCATCGTCATCGTCATTATGGTCAGGAAAGACAACAAAATCATCAATAATAAATTATGGCAAATTTCACAACCGTGGAATAAGATTACATTCAGTAAAACCACCTTATTCATATATTGCATTGATTACAATGGCTATTCTACATTCACCACATAAACATTTAACATTAGGTGGAATATGTGATTTTATTATGTCAAATTTTCCTTACTATCGTGAACGTTTTCCAGCATGGCAGAATTCTATAAGACATAATTTATCATTGAATGATTGTTTTATGAAGATACCACGTGAACCTGGTAATCCAGGCAAAGGTAATTACTGGACCTTGGATCCGAATTCTTTAGATATGTTTGATAATGGCAGTTTTTTACGACGACGTAAGCGTTATAAACGTTTAAGTTTTGACAGTAGCAGCAATGCTTGTTTTTACAATTATTCCGAATTTATCGACATCTGTAACGGTAAAAGACAAAATAATGACCGCGTTAATTTATTAAATCAAACTGAGACTTCTACTACCTCTTCTACCGCTAAGGATAGCAGGATATATAGTAGCATTTATCCTCAAGTTATTGTGGACAAAAACAGTAATGTACTTACTAACGCATATCATTCCGACTTTGTTAGCAATACACCTACTTTAATCAAGACAAATACTACTACGAAGACAGGTAAATCCAATAATGCTTCATCACTAAATGAAAATGTTTTAAATGTCTACGCCACCAAAAATGATTTGAAGGATGACTTTATAGTGGATAACTGTATTCAGGATAATAAATATCTAGAGAAAAAATCTGAGGACATGTTAAAGTTAATTAACAAAACTACTATTCCATCAGCGTGTCCAATATCTATGTGTACGCCACATTCTGTTCATAATTCCAATATACCTCTGGCATCATCATCATCAATGAATGGACCGTTATCCCCTTGTTCAGTTGATTCCAATATACCCTATGTATTCCAGTCGCTGTTTCAACCACAAAAAAATTCAAATATAAATAATCAAGAATACATACGAAATTCACTGTCATTTAATATTGATCACATCCTAAATTCGACTAAGAAGAACAATGAGACAACCTCATTACTAACATCTTCAGTCTTGCCCTCCAATTCTTTATCTCATTCTTCTTCATCATCATCATCATCATCATCATTATTTACACCATTAGAAAAGAGGAATTCAGAAGAAGTTAGACCATTGCATCCTTCATCTTTATTTTCACGTGAGTCTTATACTCATTTTTTATCTAACCTTTCCAACAACACAACTATAATCAATCCTAAATTAAGTAGTAATATCACTGATGAAATTAATTTATTTAATGATGAAAAATTATTTCATCATGCTTATTTTATGCAAATTTTATCAAATCAGAAATTTACTTTTCCAGAGCATTTATCATCATATTGGAATGGAATTGAATCAATTGATTGGTTTAATGCAAATATAAATATCCAATTTTTATCTCATTTTATCCAATCTGTCCTACATACAAATTAATCACTAATTGATAAGAAAATATAAAAAAAACACAAAGCAATTTATGTTAAGAATTGAAAATGATATATATGTGTATATGACTTTATAAAATGGTCTATTTATATATCCTTCCATGTAAACAGTAAATTCTTTGTTTCTATTGTATAATGAACATGAATCTCAGGTGGTTTTGTTTTGTTTTATTTAATTTTTCCGTAAAAGAAATGACATATTGAATATGATTAAAGAAAATTATTTATTACATAAAGAAATTATGCATAATATTGTTCATATATAAGTTGCTTATAGCATATATTTATTGTAATGATTATAAAATAAATTTTTTTCATATTTTAGTAAGAATTTACTTGTTATCATTATTTTCCAATTCATTTCTATTTAAAATTTTCTTTATTAAATTTACTTGATGTCAATTCGGGTTTAGTCTTTTGTTTGTTTATTTGTTTGTTTTTTACTCTTAGAGAAATATAATTTAAATTGTAAAGTATAGAGTTATTTATTCATTAATCATTTCATTTATTTGTTTACTTGATTACATAATACTTTGGTAATGATTAATTACATAACAATTATCAGTCCTTATCATAATAATAATAGTAATAGTATTAATAATAATTATTATTATTGTTACTAGTAGTAGTGATGTGTAGATCATCAACAACAAGACAATTTATATTAATAATTTCATTATAAAGGTTTAAATAATAAAAATAATAATAAAATTATTTTAATCAATTCATTATTTATTAATAATCATTAGTAATCTATTGATAACATTGAATTGTACTGAATGTATCATTTAACGTATTTATTCTAAGTTATGTAATAAATATCTATTCATTTAATATTGTTTGTTTTGTTTTGTTTTTCAAAATTAAATTATACGGATCTATAATAATACAATTTAATTATCGTATATTTAGTTATTTATACCCCTGTTGATATATATACTTTTTTTTCAAAAAATAAAAAATGTTTATCTTTATATACTAATAAATATGAACTTTGTAAAAACATTAAAGAGGAAGAATATGTATTTGTAAAATCTTAGTGCATGAAATTTGAAATAAATCCAACGTTTCGCTTGGTAATCTGGTTCAAGCTTTTTCAAGGAAATACTGTAAGATTAATAAAAACATGTTTTATTTTCTTCTTATTATTATTATCATTATTATTTCTTGATGGGATAAAACATCAATTTATATACATGTATGTATAACAACGTTATATATGGAATTGCATTTTGAAAAAAAATCATTTAAATGAACTTGGATATTGACGAAATTTATTTGAAATTATCAACAACAACAAAAAAAAAAGAATGATAATAATTTTCACATAATTCAGGTAAATTTATTCAAATATTTTATAATAATTATATAATTCAAACTGTTATTGATAAGGATTCGAGTTATTTTATTGATTAAAATTAAGGAATAAATATTAATTAGTTTTTTCTATTGAATGTTTCAAATGATAGGTATTGAGTTTGAGTTCTCGTATGAAAATCAATACTAGGAGTTAGGTATATTTGATTGATAGGTGTGAAAAAAAACTAAACGATCGTTTTAAATAACATTGTTAATCATAATCTATCTGTTGTAATTTTTCACTATATGTATATTCGTTTAGTGATGTTTATTACATTGTTAGCAAAAGTACTAAAGAAATGGAAAACTACTTTATTTATGTATGAATTTCTTTAGAAGTGTACACATTTAATAATCTATTCAAAAGAATTGAGGTTAAAGCATTATGATCTTACAGCAAATATGAAACGTACACTTATGTACTCAGTTATACGCCAGTATACTATGATTAAGAAACAGTTTATAGTTCTACTTTTCCTGTTAGTTTGTGATTTGATTTTTACGATAATTTATTATCCATATATTTAGAAAAAAGCTGAGGAAATAATACAACTGAGCTGACACAAAGAAGAATCTAAATAACATAATCTTGAATAACCATATTAGTTTACCCTTAAAATGACCAATAATCACAAGTTTGAGTTGGATGGAAAGTCATACAATCTTTATTTGTAACGTAAGCAAAGGTAGTCAATAGGTGACACATATATTTACTTTTTTATTTGAACATAATTTTCATCATGAAGAATTATTATTTGCCGAGGCGCTAAGGACCAGAAACATTGGTCATTTTCTTCATCTTAGTTTGGGATTCTCCAAATACCCACAATTATGACTTGAAACCTCTAGGTTTCTTGGTAAATGTAATACCAAAAAACCACTTAGTAGCTGTAAGATGGTTCACTTGGTAAAGATAACTGCTTTTCTCCCACTTTTATTGACTTTAAAGTTAATGTTTCCCTATTAGAACTTCGGAAAGGTCATCTCTAATGTAACGTTAGTGAATATCAAGGTTATTCTGTGAAGGTTCTGTATCGTTTGAAGGTCATCTACATCACAACTTCCCATTAGATGGATATTTATTCCCATCCAAATAGTCGTTTTTTATTACACATGTTTGTCTATACAGTATTAGTTATGAGTACTAGTTCAATTGTTACGGAAGCTAAGTAATATTATTGTTCTAAAAGAATAACTGACGGGGGAAAAAAATAAAAACACCAACTTTTACCTTCGTTATAAACAATGTAATGACAAAATAATGTATTCAATTTTTTATCATTGATCGGATTTCAAACTACAAGAGCTACATAAATGTATAATGTGCAAGAAAACGGAAGAAAATCTAAAAACGATAAAATATATCAACATTTAAGAAACAACTTCATGAAAATTTCCTAGGTTATTTCATAAAGTTTTCATAATGAATGCGTAATCAGCTGACATTCGAAACACGACACATTAGACGTTTAATGGCCTGTAAACATTAAAGCTCGTCAATTAGCTATATTTTTTACGAATTCTAACCACATTTATTTTGTTCCGTACCGTGGTGTAATGAATAGTTGTTTATTAAATCAAAGAAGAAAAACAGTAAAACTGTGATCGTGTAATCAGTTCTTGATCATATCAAGTTGAAAACGGTGAGTAAATGCAACAAGTCGTCAATCTCGTGAAAAATTACCAATCCTGTTATATTGTTTTATTTCTATACAATCAATTAATCAGTATTCTATTAATTAGAATATATTTTAATTGAGTGAAGACCAAGTATATAATTTTATCTTTGTAACTGATTATTATTTAAGTTATTATTTAGTGAAAAGTTTCAAGAATCAACTTAATGAACAATAACTAAAAGCATAAATATGTTTCTAAGAGTACATAACCGTTATAAAAGCATGATGAGTAAAAAGAGCTACAAAAATTTTTATCGTAAGCAAACATTTTTGTAGTTAACAACACAGATTGATGTTAGTTAAACAAACACTGATAAATACAAAGTACTATTGCAATAGCTGTTCCAATCTAGGATGGGATTCCTCAACAGTGTATATCTAAGACCACACTTAAGATTATTAGATAATCATGTTAAATACGGAAGCAAAGCATTCTTAACATTTTGAGAAGTATACATTCTCAACACTTATATTGTTTAAGGTTACCCGGATTATCGGTAACCATATTGTTTATAGCAATATTTTAAGTCTTATGGTTATGAATTATAAGTAATTGACTGCCAAAAGATAACAGATGTCAAAGTGACTGATATTCATGATTTAATAAATGAATTCAAAGAATAAAATATTGATCACTTTTAGATAATGATAATTAAGCTCTGATCAATATGAGAAGCAAGAGAATTCAAAATTGTATGAAAATATACCCATTGTTCAATATTTTTAATGATATCGGATTATGATGAGAACCAACATGGTATTTTAACAATTAACTAGAATAGTTTAAAGTTCAAAATAACACTATAATTAAAGTTTTGTGGTGAAAATTATGTAATATATATATACAAGGTTTTTCTTATGGGGAACTGATTAAGTTGATCTCTCTCAATAAATAACAATCTGTAAAGAATATTTTTACTGATTTAGTAATTTTACCTTATCAAAGATCAAGTTAAGGAGAACTGAGGATGTTTGGACAACAAGTAAGGATACATGAAATAACTATTTTATTTAATAATGCAAGCTTTATTGTAGTTAGGAATTTTAATCACCGATTGTTCAATATTACACCACGTTTCTCTTCAACATCTATTCAAATATTCATTATTCGGAAACATATTTGATAAATACTTTTCAATAGTTGATATCTGGCATTCTCCATCGATCTTCAATGTTTTTTTCCAGTTTGGCAGTTGTGACTTCTCTTCATCCCCTAGGTGATAAGTATAGGAATTACAATGAAAACCCTTCTCGTTTAATTAACTAGTAGATGAGTAGATAAATATGACAAAATGTTATTTCTGTTTAAGTTTTTTCAGTATTTAGTATCATAATAATTTAGAAACCGTTTATAAAAGCTAGTGAGCATATATAAATGAATTTATAACCATTCGGTTCAAATAAATAAATAGATTTATATTTATAATTATAAACTTGATGGCCTACACTTTTAAGGAGACTTCCAAATAGTAACAGTCTAAATTTAATAAGTATGAATTATTCTTTTTACTTATAAATGGTAAACCATGTATGAATGTTGAATGTTTGTCAATGTGTTAAGACATTTAACAATGAAATTGATTTCATTCATGTAAATGAACTAAAGTGTCAGGATTGCTTAAATCCATTGCAAATTTTCGAAATCCCTGTTAATGACAATTGATCATTTATCCTTATTCACAGTCTAATAAACATAAAGTTGACTAATATTTTAAAGCCATATCTTCAGTTTATTCGCAAAATCATTTAACAAAGTTTTAGTTTAGTCTTATATTATTGCATTTCAAAAAATAGTACCACATCCAAGGTCGAAATTTTGTAATGTAAGTTCCCCATGTTTATTAAGTAGTTTTATTCAGTCGTAACTATAGTTAAGTAGCAATTTACATCAATTATAAGTTGTCATGCGTATTGAAAAGTAATACTTTTTGGAAAATGAAGCGATAAGTTA